TGAGTTTCCTAAAAACAACGGCTGATAAATTTTTGTTCCTTGAATTTTTATAACTCTTTAGTCTACTTATTCTATTTTTAACATTGGGAATATTCTTTAGAACCGAATCTTGAATCTTTAACTTCATAATGACAGCAATGATGATAACAGCTAAATTATTAGCTACGTCAAGTGAAAAACGGAAGTTGTCTCTCTCACATGACGAGAAAAATTAAACTAAACATTTTTCAAAGGAAAAAAAAATGTATATATACCTTCCACATACCTCAAGCATATAGCTACATTCCACTGCATCTCGCTCTTCACCAACTAACTAAATCCTAATTCAACATTTCTCTCTCACAACTGATCTCTTATTCTTCCTTGATTATCTCTCACTAAAACCAAAAATCCTTTTAATATATAAAAAAATGAAACAATTGTCGATAAAAGTGACAAGCAATGCTAATGGACAAGACTCTTCCTACTTTTTGGGATGGGAAGAATACGAGAAGAACCCTTACGACGAAATCAAGAACCCTAATGGGATTATTCAAATGGGTCTTGCCGAAAATCAGGTAACTATATAACTTCGATTTTTCGACGAATCAACAAGTTAACTTTATTCTTCGTTTTAAGTACTTAATATGATGTTTTTTATATGCAGCTATGTTTTGATCTCATAGAGACATGGCTAGCTAAGAATCCGGACGCGGCCGGACTCAAAAAGGACGGCCAATCCATTTTCAAAGAGCTTGCTCTCTTCCAAGACTATCATGGCCTACCAGAATTCAAGAAAGTGAGTAATTCAATTTTTCTCCTTCACATATCAAAGAAAATATATATATATATAACTTAAAATGCAAGTAACCTAATAGGGTTTATTTGTCCATAGGCTTTGGCAGAGTTTATGGAGGAAATAAGAGGAAATAGAGTAACATTTGATCCAAGCAAGATTGTCCTAGCTGCTGGTTCAACCTCTGCCAACGAAACTCTCATGTTTTGTCTCGCAGAACCTGGCGACGCTTTCCTTTTACCAACTCCTTACTATCCAGGGTAATTTCTATACCCTAAATTAATTTTTAGGTTGGATATTTTACTTATCTCCCAAGAAATATGAACTGACAGAATTTTACAGATTTGATAGGGATCTGAAATGGAGAACAGGAGCAGAGATCATACCGATCCATTGCTCGAGCTCTAATGGGTTTCAAATAACAGAGTCAGCTCTTAAACAAGCTTATCAACAAGCTCAGAAGCTTGATCTTAGAGTCAAAGGAGTTCTTGTTACCAACCCGTCAAATCCACTTGGTACCATGTTGACCAGAAGAGAAATTAACCTTCTCGTTGACTTCATTACTTCCAAAAACATTCATCTCATTAGCGACGAGATCTATTCAGGTACTGTTTTTGGGTTTGAACAGTTTGTTAGTGTTATGGATGTCTTAAAAGACAAGAAACTCGAGAACAGTGAAGTCTCCAAATGAGTTCATATCGTTTATAGTCTTTCCAAAGATCTCGGTCTACCGGGTTTTCGCGTTGGAGCAATCTACTCCAACGACGAAATGGTTGTTTCCGCTGCTACAAAAATGTCGAGTTTTGGCCTCGTTTCTTCCCAAACACAGTACCTTCTCTCCGGATTGCTTTCCGACAAGAAATTCACAAGTACATACCTCGATGAAAACAAGAAAAGACTCAAGATTCGTCAAAAGCAACTCGTGTCCGGTCTAGAAGCCGCAGGGGTTACTTGTCTTAAAAGCAATGCCGGTTTGTTTTGTTGGGTGGACATGAGGCATCTCTTGGACACAAACACATTCGAAGCAGAGCTTGAGCTATGGAAGAAGATTGTTTACGAAGTGAAGCTGAATATTTCACCCGGTTCATCGTGCCATTGTACTGAACCGGGTTGGTTTAGGGTTTGTTTCGCCAACATGAGTAAAGAGACGCTCGATTTGGCGATGAAGAGGCTCAAGGAATACGTAGAGTCAACAGACAGTAGAAGATTGATTTCAAAAAGTAGCCATGAAAGAATCAAGAGCTTGAGGAAGAGGACTGTCTCTAACTGGGTTTTCCGGGTTTCATGGACCGACCGTGTACCTGATGAACGATGAAAAACTAATTTATCGTCCTAAGTTAAGACACAGCCAATCTTCCCAAAATAATTCGTTTTTTAAATATTGCGGAAAATGTATTATACATTTTCCAAAATATTCATATCACTATATTCTTTTTTTTTTTTGGTTTTAGTATCACCATAT